AAACTTTCAACGCCTGGATAGGAACACAGGGCTGAAGGTGTGTAAACTAACTTTTGGTCAATTTCTTCCTGCTCAACTTCTCTCTCTCGTTGCTCAGCCCTTTTCTAATCACGCCTCTCCTCCCTCCCGCCACTATTCCCAACAAAACATGCACCCATCATGCCCGACGATAGTATGGGACCTGCGTTCCGCTGACACGTCTTTTTTGGAGGCAGAACCAGCAAGCAAGTGTCTGCATACGATCGATAAGGGAGATCCAAGCTCGATGGCATATGATAAGGGTAAATTTGAGGCTACCGGGGCTTAGGACGCATATACACTGACCGACAAAAATAAAGAAACACGTGGTTTTTTTGATTGGAGTCGCAATAGCTCCTCAACGCTGCGATATTTTTTCAGACTTTCAGTGAGAGAAATGTAGCTTAATTGATGTAGTTTATTGTTAGAAAAAGAATGAGGTACATACATGAAAAAAATGATGAGATATAAATATGTTAGCCGAGAGTGTCATTTTTAGCAGTGTAAGTAAAATGAGAAAACAAGATAATTGACCTGACGAAAAGTCCAACAACCTAATATCTAGTATGCCTGCCCTTTGCCAATATCAAGGACCTCACCCGTGATGGGATACTACCATATAACGCATTGCAATACTCTTTTCCAAGTGCAGCCCACTCCTCCTGCAGAACGGCAAATAATGCGGCAGTCGTTGTTGGGTGACGTGGTCTGTTGTTCAGACGATGTTCAAGAGTAGCCCAAGCATTCTCTATGATGCTTTGGTCGGGGCTATTTGGTGGCCAGTCCATTACAGAGATGTTTTGGTCGGTGAGCCACTTTTTCGTAAGCCGAGCTGTGTGCTTGGGGTCATTATCCTGCTGAAAAAGGACATCGTCGACTGAGAGTTCATAGTCCTGGAGGGTGCCGAGAAGTCCTTCATTAAGTATCTGGCAGTACTGGACAGCATTCATAGTGCCTTCCACCAAAATCAGCCGTCCGAAGCCCAAACTCGTCATGCATCCCCAGACCATCACCCCCCCGCCTCCATGCTTCAACCGGGGCAACACGTTATGCACATCTAGTGCCTCACCAGGACCCCTACGACACCACTGCACTCCGTCTGACCCAAAGAAGTTGAATTTGGACTCATCTGAGTAGAGCACAGTACCCCCATTTTTCTGCTCCCCATTCTGCATGTGCCTCTGCCCACACCCTTCGCTTTCTAACATGAGCCTTCGTGAGCATTGGTACCTTCCACCTCTTGTAACCCTTCAGGCCCTCATCTGAAAGCCTGCGCTGCACAGTGCGCTCCGAAAGATGGTCGAAATACCCCCGTTGAATGTCGACTGCTGTCCGGCAGTCGTGACTACGGATTTTTCGCACGGCAAATTTAATATCCGCATCGTCCATCTTGCGCGGGCGGCCTCGCCCTTCGATGCGAGCATAGTAGTTCTCCTTCCCTTCATATTTGTGGCCAGTTTTGCAGACAGTAGAGCGCGAACATCCAATGACATTGCTGATTTCAGTGCAGGTGTGGCCTTCATTGAGGAGAGTGCAAATACAGGCTGCTTTCGTAGGGGTAATAGGCACATTTGGTTTGCGAGGAGGAGGTGAATACATGATAGGAATTTCAGTGCAATCGGCCCAGGTGGTGGTTCAGATTCAAGTTGGTTCCGACGTTGATGTGATGCCATTACATCATCAAAATTGGCATGTGGTTTCGCAGCCCTCTTACTTTGCTCACTGACTGGTATTTTTGCCTCATTCTTTTCATAATATTAAACTACAGATATCAAGCTACATTACACTCACTGGAAGTCCAAAAAAATATTGCAGTGTTGAGGAGCTATTGCGACTCCGATCAAAAAAACCATGTGTTTCTTTATTTTTGTCGGTCAGTGTACCTGGCTTTGGTGGGCCTTTTACGCCAGGGTTATGAACTCTGGTCAGGTTGTCGCGTTGGTTGAGGGTTAACGAACTCGCACAGGAGATAATGGTATGCATGCTTTCCTCCCTCCCTCCTTCTATCAACTGAACCAGACTCTGGAAGGCTTCTGTTGCAAGAACACAGCAGAATCAACGACCAAATCGAAGGTTGGTGTGCTTTCATTTCGTAAAGGTACCTACAAGGTTCAAGGTGCGTGCCGCTAGTCCTTGAGGAACTCCTTCGACCTGACCTTTCGTCTCTTTCCCCAAGACTCTATTGCCCATGATGGTCCCATCAACACGTCGGTGTGCGTAACATACCCAATTGTTGCCCTTTGTTGAAGTCGCCTTTGTAGACCGTCGATCAATGCAGGAGCTTTCAGCGCATTTGGCAAGCATATTTCTTCCAGCAAAAGTATGAAGTGCTAATCTTGCTAGTAGTTTTCGTTGGATTCTGGCCAGCGAGTCTGCACTCAGTCATGTATTGTCACAAATTCAGGTGTGTACCATTATCCCAGTCTTAGTTGTAGTACTGACCTTGACTTTAAGCATAAGCACACATGGGGGAGTCGACAGGCGAGGCAGAGGGAGTTCGAAGTAGCACCCCGCCATTGAGAGTCGAGATGAGCGTATGTGCGGAATACGGATGGACAGTCGTACGCAAGGAGGTGTGCACGTTGACGGGCTTGACCTACATTTAGCCTGAATGGAGGACGAGTCCCTCCCTCTATACGTATGCTGTTGTACCCATTCTCCAAACAGCAATGATTATGTTTTTACAGCGTCTTCCCTATCTAAATATATCATACAGGATAAGCGGACGACCAATTTAATCATTCGCCAAAATCTCAGCGCCTCAGCTCAACGATAGCTTCCTCTGACTGATTCTCCGACTTTTCCTCAAATCCAAATCCTGCCAGCACGGAACCCTGCCAGGAGCTCTTCCCAGTCTTATCCTGCCCAAAGCACAGCGGAGAAGTCATCACACTCCCATTCCCCGAATCCTCCGCATGCGCATGGCCCACCCCAATAATCTGTCAGACTTCTACACTCTCCCCCTAAACCCGCGATTTCTCTGTATTTGCCCATCTTCTCGTGCTGATCCTCGTCTACGTGTTTGAAGGAAAAACCAGACAGAGCTTCGCGTTATACAGTCCGGAAACCTTGAGGAAATTGAGGTGTAGAGGTGTTTGTCTTTTCGTCCCCTTCTGGTTTTGGATTCGAGTTGTTGGTGATCTAGCTAGCAAGTGAGGATGGATCAGAAGTATCGAAGACAAACAGAGAGTGCGGAAAATTTTCAAGTTCTCGGTATAAATTTGATTGAGCTAACCAAATGTATAGATTCACCAATTAACGACTCGAACGACCATCCTCGAAGTAGACCCTAACCTCTGAATTCTCTTTCTCTCGACACATAGTAGACCAACCTACGATTTTTTAAGCATCATCGTACTGCAGAATGACACACCAGCCACCATCACCAACCAAAACTCGCCGCACGCTATAATCTGTAGTGAACACGGCTACGGACCCCATTGACCATACGCAGCTTATTATCAGTCTACCCTCAAAAATCAACTAACCAGGACAAACGATCTCCAGCACCTCGAGCTGGCCCCAGCGAACTGTCCCTGTCGGTCGAATACTATCATTGCTGACGAATACTCTGAATTCCCAAAGGTTACTTCTCAGGGAGGGAGTCACGCTGGAGGAAACGATCCCTTCGTAGCAGGTGGTCTTGTGCTTTGACGAAACCGGTAAGGCTTGTCGCTATTGGAGTTATGAGATAACAAAACTGACTTCTTCATGATTGTCAGAAGACAGCGATGTATCCTTACTGAGGAATTCACGCGTCGATGATACAGAACTCCAGCACTACGCAATAAGGATGGCTCCAGAGCACAGCTAGTGGTAATTGTGTGATCTTTTTTCCAGCTTGTATATAAACTGACATGTCCTTGAAGGCCGGTATCGGGACGTATTGCATTCAGGACGTGGCTTCACCTATCGCAACCAGCCTCAGCAGTATGATCAGCATTCATCTCGATCGATTGCGCATGTTATAAGTAAGTTGAATGACGTCTTCCGGTAGACCATAGTGGTTAACCCAGCCTTTCTAGGTGGACATGAATTGTATGCATAAATTTCTCCATTTACGCTACAAAGCTGGGGATAAGATTTGTATTTTTGGGTACGTTTTCTATTACAATTCAATGCGCCGTCACATACCTATCAGCTGAAATGAACCTAGATTCTCCTGCGGTGCCTATGCCAGTCCCGTTTGATGCGCGCCTTCATCTGTTTCTGACTCTGTATATCTAGATGGCCCAAGTACTCGCAGGGATGCAAGTGGGGCTTGTTATCTCTCTAATCCCGACATCTACAGGATACACAAGGTGCGATATTCATTCCCAACCTGAACATCCTTTATACTAATATTGAATCGGACAGATCAGCCTTCTCCCTCGATGCAACTACCAACAAACCCCATCTGCCTACCGCATGTACCTGCATGAAGACGACTTCAGCTGGGCCTAAAACGCAGCTTCCAAAGAAGACTTTTTCCATTGACGTTGATATCAAATTCCTCTGCGTATGGTACGAAGACAGCTTCTTCCCCCTGCCTTCTACCCAAAGCTAATTCAACACCCTGACCATAGGGAGTCGACACCATTGATTCAGTAGGAATCATCCCTGCCGAGTCTCCATCACCATTTTGAATATGCTCGAATATGCACGTACGGCATTTCCACCATGCGTTAGCCCTGAATGAACATCGCGTCCAGTCCAGGCCCATCTTATGGTGCCGTGTTCACCTCAGTTCTGAGGCCCGAATTATTATTATATGCTACGAAATGCTGCCTGTGCCTGAACACAATATCGACCCAATATACCTTCATTAGGTCATATAATGGTCCAATATTGGCCTATCCAACTATTTTGCTATTATATATCGAATACTGCCTGTTTTGAGGGGATAGTGTCTGGCTACTATTTCGCTTGAAGCCCAGTGCAAGACGTGTCAACTTTACTGCACACACCAGTTACTGCCTGCCGGCCCTGCTTCGAAATTCAGGATGACCCTCATATCTTCTTTTCTCAAACGCGTCACTGGTCGACAGTGGACCATCCATTTTTTTACGGTCTTCTTCTGTTCAGCATCGGATCGGGTCAACGCATGCCCAGCGATGACACGCATAGCTATGGAAAAGTGAGCCCACTATTGTACCAAGTTTTCTGGTGGCTTTACTCACGAAATTTGTCTTAGTATGTCATGTCTGAAAATTTCAACGCCTGGATAAGGACACGGGACTAAAGGTGTGTAAACCAACTTTTAAGTGATTTCTTCTTGCTTACCTTCTCTCTCGTTGCTCAGCACTTTCCCTTCCCTCCCCTCCATCACCGGTACCCCCAACAAATCACACACCCATCATGCCCGACAATAGTATGGGACCTGCATTCTGCTGACACGTCGTTTATAGAGGCAGAACCAGCAAGCGAGTGTCTGCAAGGGAGATCCAAGCTCAATTGCACGCGATAAGGGCGAAAAAGAGACTAAGTGAGGTTACCGAGGCCAGCGATGCATCCACCGAGTTTCGGTGGGCCTTTTACGTCAGGATTACGAAGGTTGTCGCATTGGTTGAGGTTAACGAACTCACGTAGAAGATAATGGTACGTATTATTTCCTCTCTCCCTGCTTCTATCAACTCAACCAGACTATGGCAGGTTTCTGTTGCAAGAACACAGTGGAGTCGACGATCAAATTGCTTTCATTTTTGTAAAGGCACACGCAAAAAGTTCAAGGTGCGTGACGCTAGTCCTTGAGGAACTCCCTCGAACTGACCTTTGGTCTCTTTCCCCAAGACTCTGTTGCCCACGATAGTCCCGTCGGCACGTCGGTGTGCATGACATACCCAACGGTACGTCATCCCCTCCACTTCGTCGCTCTTTGTCAAAGTCTCGTTGCAGACCATCGATTGATGTTGATACGGCCCGATAAGCAAGGATCCAAGCTCTAAGAGTTTGCTGGAGGTGCTCGCAATGTGTTTAGTATGCACGTTGTTTCTCCTATGAAACTACATAGTACTGATAGTGCCATATAGTTTTTGTTGAATGGAGCATGAGAGCTGACTGGCGAGCACACTCGCGGCATCAAGTCTTCGATAGTGTTGAACGCAGGTACGTACCATTATCCTGGTTGTAGGCGTAGTACTGACCCTGACTTTAAGCATAAGCAAACATGGGGAGAACTGACGAGCATGCAACAGCTCCATCTAGGCTAAATATAGGACATGCCCGTCAACTTGCGCACACTCCCCGCAATCCCTCTGTCCTCCTAAGCGGATGATCTCACCACCTCAGCTCAACGATAGCTTCTTCCGACTGGTTCTCACTTCCATAACCCGCCGCCACAGGATCCCCCGTCTTAGCTTGCCCAAAGTGCAGTGGGGAAGTCATCACACTCCCACCTCCGCGTGTCCCACAAATAATGTCGGTACAATACCCTAATAACCTGCCCACAAAACACAGAGGAAGGAACCAACATACCTGCATGATCCTAGTAATAGGATCAAAACAATGCAGCGTGTTACTACTCCGTGCAAAGAACATGACATACAAAACCAATGACACTGCATACAATGCCGAAAGCTCCATCAAGACCTCCAGGACAGGCCAGTACACCCCCACGCTATCTATCACACGCGTGGGAGCCAGTAGCGGTTCAGGTCAGCATATTGGTTGCATGTTACATACATCCCATGATCCGTGCGCACGATCAACCAGTCGAGGGAGAAAGTGGCGGGGGTGATGATATAGAGGAGGACGATGACGATGATCATTGGGGGCCCAATTGTCGGGGTTTGTGCTGGGATGTGGGCATGGGCTCACAGATGTTCCATAGGGTGACGGCGATGATGCACCTGTGCGGGGTTAGATCATCTCATCTCAGTGTGAAGTTAGTGGACATGTACGTACATTGGAAGAGAGGCGAGGATTACTCTATCCGTTTCAACCTTCATTTTAAATTAGCACCTTCTTGATATCCGTGTCAGTCATGCACAAGTATCAAAGCATTCCCGGATCGATAGAAATTTCACCACGGCTCTTCAAGCGCCGGTTGTGTCAACGTGTTGATCGATTGGCTATTCTGTTATCTTGTATGCCCTTTTCTTGTAGTACTGGAACGACAATTTCATCGCTGGCCTATCGCCGCGGCACGGTAGCCTCCCTCTCACCTCAGCTGAAGTATTGATCATATAAATTTTGTTCGTATCAATGGGCCATCTCTACGATGCAATCTCCTTCTGAGTATCATGAATTCGTGCCATCTATTCATGGTCTTTTACAATGCCCTGTCTTTGCCCTTCACACGCACTCTATTGACGTACTGACATTTTCCACAACTGTTACTCGCTCTGTTCCACAACCGTTATATCAGGGTCATTTGCTACTCTCTCTGGTTGGGCTTCAGGTTCCAGGACATCGTCCTCCGTGACACTTGGCACAGTATCTCCCTGGAAATGCATCTGAGTGTAAGCGCGCTCATCCTCGCTCTCAAGCTGAGCTTCGAGGTCATCATCGATTACGACACTTCTCTGAGAGCTTGTCGAGATCCGATTCCCCCCAAAGCGAAGGGAAGACATCACGCTTCCCTCCCAGGAATCATCTGGACGAGCGTGTCCCGCTGTGACTCACCCAAAGAGAAGTGTCGGTGCAATTCCCTAGTGTGTATGGCGCATGTTTAGATGGAGAAACAAGGGAAGAATATCAACTTACCCTTGCAACCATGGCTACAGAACCAAGGTAATCTGCCCCCCAATCATTGTGAGCGTAGAAAGCCACGTATAGGATCAAGGCGACGGAATAAAGGGTCGAAGATTCAACCAAGATTTCGATGGCACGGTGGTAAGCTCTGAGGTTGCCACCGATGGACAAGATACGGTAGACGATCCCTAGAGTGCACCATATCGTGGTAACGAGAGTGAACGATGCATAAGGTACTGAGTAGAGTGGGTCAAGTTTGTTTCCGTCAGTGAACACCATGTACATGTCGATGCTTTTGAACACTGGGCCCAGGGTAAGTTCTTGATAAAAGGATCCGGAAGCAACAGAACATCTCACCGATACTAGAGACTAAACAAAGAGTAGGAAGGAGAACAATGAGCCGGTTCCGGCCCCAGATCACCCAACAACGCCAGATCTAAGGGCTAAGCAGTGAATGGAGGTAGGATTCTCAGACTCGGCAGAATCTACGCACCGTGATAGAATCTGCAAGGATGTTACATAGGATTCCTGCGATTCCTATGCCCAAAGCTACTTTATCGCTGGTATCGATGAGCTTGAGATACACCGTCCAAAAGTTTTGTCCATTAGTCACGGTGATGAGTGTGGAGTGCACCAATGACCAGTCCATAGCGTACCCAATGGAAGTCAGGGTGTAGATGAGAATGATGGCCATGATCATAACGTTTCTGATAGGTCGAGATTTGTTCATGTCTGTGGAAGTTGCTTTAGCTCAGAAGACTCATGGAGACACGGTCGACTCACAGTTGGTCCACAGGGTAACAGCAAGAACACCAGTGTATATGCCTGGTGGACATGAGCATTCAAGTTTGGTTCAAATGTCAGCATGCATACCATGTAATAGAAATGCAAGTATAACAGTATTTAACGTAGTGTCAAGGACTTGAAAGATGAAATTTATCTCATCGTCGGTGAGTTCCTCCGGTATATCGGTCTGAGAGGTCATGTAGATTAGAACTTGGCAAAGGTTGTTTTCGAAGGTACACACCCTATTATACTGGCGCATCGAGAATTTTTATCAGTCGGTCAATGTGCCATGGAATCCTCGCCGGTGATATCCAAAAATGTTATGCAGCTTGATTGTCAATTGAATGCGTAACGATGAAGATTGTAGTCCGAGATGATCGTCAAGAGCACATGGTACGAGGGTCCGTGCTATCCCGTCGAGATGATCTGCATTTAGCAAACGCTCAAGAAGGTTAATCCATCTCCAAGAGCGAATCTGGCGCAGTAGGGTTGGGCGAACGATATCGATTATCAGGTGGCGTGAGTCTTGAGATAGTTCTGACCATTCCAGATAGCCATGACATCTCACCACATGGTCATACATCGATGCTTCAGTTGTAATCTTTTCATGAGATGCAATCAAAAAAAAAAAACCCTATTACATTGTAACATCAGCAATGATGAAACAAAGGACGAGGTGCTACCATAGTCGTGCATGCTATAAAAAGAATCAGGAACTTCGCTTCCACTGAGCGATAAGCATGTGCACCTCAACCATCTCAGTGTATTGAAGAAGCTAGACATTCATCAGACCCTAATCGATGCTATATGCATGGTAACCACCGCAGGCCAAAAATCCCTTTAGCAATCGTTCCGGTTTGTTGTGGCCGACCGTTTGACAAACAGAGCTTCAGAAATTGGTAAAAACCACTCCAAATGACCGGTCTTTCGACAAGGGGTTGGCGGCTGCTGCTTGTTAGAGTTGTGGCGGGATGCCTCAGTATTAGCCTTGCTCGCCGGGTGTCTCAGAGCATAAATGGGATTCCGGATTGATAGTGGCAACGAGGAGGAGGTCATTGGTGGCAGATATCAGCGAGATCGAGTTTGGGCTATGAAAAAGGTGAGTATGACTGAAATGGAAACAAGGGACAAGACCTTACCGCCTGCACCGCCCCTCCTGCGCACTATCCTTTCTACTCAACATGTGCGTACTCGCCAGACAAAGATATGTCACCTCACTCCAAAAAACACGTCCTAGATGCCGGTAACGATGCTCCTGAGTTGGTGGTGGCAGGGGTGCATGTGCGGTGCCGTTTGAGGGAGAGACTCGGAGGACACATTGATCAGCTGACAGCGACGAGCTGTGGAGACAGTCAGCGCTCCTGAAACAGAGCAAGGAACGAGGAGACTTACTGTATTATTTCCATGCCTACGCCTCCCTGTTCCAATGTTCATACCCCTGGGCTTGCTCGCCGGATGAAGATACATCGTCTCAGAGAAGATCGGGTTTTTGATGTTGCAGAAAGCTTGCTCTTTAGTTGGTGGAGGAAGGAGACCTGCCATCTGTGTCCACAATCCTCTGCACTGGCAAGGCGACGAGCATGACTCGTTTATGGAATTTTGACGCGCCGTCTCAGCCCAACTGTCGATTCCCTTCATTTGGGGACGTGTCATTGTTGAGACGAGGAATGGTGGTGCAGATCTGAAATCGTCATATTGAGAGGAGACAGTACTGTGGGAGGGATATCAGGGTGACTTCGAATATCCAGCCCGAGTGCCAACGTTGAAGTCCTCCTCGTTCATTAGCCGCAGGGAAAAGTATTTTTGAATATATGGGTTTGATGTTGAATCATAATGCCGGCTAAAACCAATGGTGACGCGACGAACAAAAAGTCGCATGGCGGTGAGAGGTAAGAAGCTTGGTTTGACGTCATGTCGATAGTCCAAATTTGACCAAATGTTCCATTTTAGTTATCAACACCCATGCAGGACGCGTCGACTGTATTGTACGTGTCAGTGTAGTCCCGAGACAGCAGTATGGTGGCACTTGTACGTGGTTATATAACTAGTCGCCTTTCCCTGTTCCGAACAGTAACCCTATTCTGTTATCTTGTCTGCCCCCTTTCTTGTACGCACAATGTCTGATTCCAACGATTTCATCGTTGGCCTATCGCGGCGGCACAGTGGCCTCCCTGAACTGAAGCACTGACCACATTTTCTTGGTATAAAAATTGTTCGCATCGATGGACTGTCTCTACGGTGCAATCTCCTTCTGAGTCAGCGATCATAGGCCGCATAAGTATCGAGAATTCACGTCATCCATTTACGGTCATTTACAGTGCCCTGTCTTTGCCTTTTACACACACTGTATTGAGTACTAGGGCACTGATGTTTTCCACAACTGTTACTCGCTCTGTTCAACAACCGTTACACCAGGGCTCATTTGCTACTCTCTCTGGTTGGGCTTCAGGTTCCAGGACATCGTCCTCCATGACACTTAGCACAGTATCTCGCTGGAAACACGTCTGAGTGTAGGTGTGCTCGTCCTCGCTCTCAAGCTGAGCTTCGAGGTCATCATCGGTTATGACACTTGCGATAGTACTTCCCCTCGAGCTTGTCGGAATCTGATTCCCCCCAAAGCGAAGGGAAGACATCACGCTTCCCTGCCAGGAATCATCTGGGCGAGCGTGTCCCGCTGCGACTCGTCCAACGATAAGTGTAGGTGCAATTCCCTAGTATGTATGGGCGTATGTTTAGATGGCGAAACCTGAACCTGAGGGGAACTTGCTTACCCGTGAAACCGTGGCTACAGAAACAAGGTAATTTGCACTCCACCCATTGTGAGCAAAGAGAGCCACGTATAGGATCAAGGCGACAGAATAAAGGGTTGAAGATTCAACCAAGATTTCGATGGCGCGGCGGTAAGCTCTGAGGTTGCCACCGATGGACAAGATATGGTAGACGATGCCTAGTGTGCACCATGTCATGGTAACGAGAGTGAACGATGCAAAAAGTACTGGGTAGAATAGGTCAGGTCGGTTTCTGTCAGTGAACATCATGTACATGTCGAAGCTTTTGAATGCTGGGCCCAGGGTAAGTTCTTGATAAGAGGATCCGGAAGCAGCAGAACATCTCACCGATACTAGAGACTAAACAAAGAGTAGGAAGGAGAACAATGAGCCGGTTCCATCCCCAGATCACCCAACAACGCCAGATCTAGGGGCTAAGCAGTGAATGGAGGTAGGATTCTTGGAGGCAGAGTCTACACACCATGATAGAATCTGCAAGGATGGTACAGAGGATTCCTGTGATTCCCATGCTCAAAACTACTTTATCGCTGACATCGTTGAGCTTCAGATACACAGTCCAAAAGTTTTGTCTGTTAGTCACGGTGATGAATGCGGAGTGCACTAAAGACCAGTTCAAAGCAAACCCAATGGAAGTCAGGGTGTAGATGAGAATGATGGCCATGATCATAACGTTTCCAATAGGTCGAGATTTATTCACATCTGTAGGAGTTGCTTTAGCTCAGAAGACTCATGGTCGACATGGTCGACTCACAGTTGGTCCACAGGGTAACAGCAAGAACACCAGTGTATATGCCTGGTGGACATGAGCATTCAAGTTTAGTTCAAACTTCAGCATGCATACCATGTAATAGAGATTTAAGTATAATAGCATTTAACACAGTGTCAAGGGCTTGAAAGATGTAATATATCTCATTGTTGGTGAGATCCTCTGGTATATTGGTCTGAGAGGTCATGTAGATTAGAACTTGGCAAAGGTTGTTTTCGAAGGAAGGTACACACCTTATTATACTGGTGCATTGAGAATTTTCATCAGTGCCATCAAATCCTCGCCGGTGTTATGTCAGTGATATCCAAAAAGGTTATGTAGCTCGATTGTCAACTGAATGCGTAACAATGAAGAGTGTAGTCTGGGACAATGATCAAGAAAACATGGTACGAGTGCTGCCCGGTCGAGATGATCGGCGTTTGGCAAAAGCTTAAATAAGTCCACCCATCTCCAAGAGCGAATCTGTCGCAGTACATCAGTAAGTTAACATCCGTATGGTATGCATGGCACCATGCAAATCATGCAAGCTATACTGTTATACATGTGCATGGCTCTACAAGGTACCTACGTAATTCTACGCACCCCGTATAGCAGACTATGCTTCACCACGCAGTTATACGCTACACCCATTCCATGCTGCTACACCACCTAGCTTTGCATCAATTCCAGGTTCGAATCGGGCAGTGCAGGATAAAAAATTGTCACATTCAGCATGTAGATAATACAGGTTGGCGTAGAATAATAACTAGCATACAATAGGCATCATAGAGCTGCAGTGAACTGAGTACTCGGGTGAACGTTAGGGTTAGGTACAGAAAATTGACACGCTGTAGGGCCTTGATGTATGGTACCCGTTGCGGCCAAAATTTGCAATGTTGACTTGACCACCTGCGTAGCACAAATTGCTAAGACAGAAAAGATCTGATGAGATCAGGATCAAGCTTGCAGAAAATATACACACCTCTACAGCCACCATGTCTTTCTTGACCAGCTATTGGCACCGCTATCACCTCCACAAGTTCAAGCCTGTGTGCCAAGTCCCAGACCTTCGCACAATAGGACAAGCATCAGTCGGTCATGGTCAGCAGTAAAGGTATTGCTGCTAGCTTGTAACGGCGGTGAAGTGAGCCTGCGTACACCATCAGCAAATGTGCTAGACTGGCAGGAGATGTATACGCTGAAGAAGCTTAGTTTCTCTGAAGAGATCTATGCTAAATTGGCTTACCAACCTATATAATATAGCAGCAGAGGTCAACGGAATGGCTGCCTATAAGCTGTGCGGTAGGAGGAGACATGCTGAGAGGAGGAGGAGGAAGAAAAAGATCAAGTCCCAAACGATCAAAATTTCCGAGTTCAACATGCACGTGATCAAATGACGTGCTTGAGACGGCCCGACCCTTGCCCAATGACATCACACATATCCGAATCGTCGTTTTTCTGCAGTTCAGTGCACAACCAACCCCGAAAACTTAGAACTGCTGCACAAGTAAGCCGGTCTCAAGCCAACCTTACATGTAGCCAAGGAAAATTTTATTTGGACAGCAGCCATGCAACTATACAACCGCCACATACTGGCATGGTTTGCATGGCTATATTCTTTGGGCATGGTGATGCATGGATATGCGTGACTGAAAATCTCATATACAAGCCATGCATGCCATGCATACCACACGGACGTGAACTTACTGATGTAGGGTTGGGCGAACGATTATCAGGTGGCATGAGTCTTGAGGTAATTTTGACCAGCCATGACATCTCACCATATGATTGTACATTGATGCTTCAGTTCTAATCAGAAGTCATCTCAACTAATCTTTTGCAATCCAAAAACAAATCCTATTACATTGTAATGTCAGCAACTGTGAAACAAACAAGGTGCTACCATAATCGTGCATACTATAAAAAGAATCAGGAACTTCAGTTCCACTGAGCGATGAACATGTGCACCTCAACCATCTCAGTGTCTTGAAGCCAGACATTCGTCAGACCCTAATTGATGCTATATGTATGGTAACCACCGCAAGCCAAAAAGCCTTTTAGTAAGTCTCCATGATTGATCCGTTTTGTTGTGGCTGATCGTTTGACAAACAGGGCTTCAAAATTTGGTAAAAACTACTCCAAACGACTGGTGCTTCGACAAAGGGTTGTGGCGGGATGCATCAAAATTAGCCTTGCTCGCTGGATGACTCAGCACAAAAATGGGACCCAGGATTGATGGTGGTGACGAGAAGGTCATTGGTGGTAGATCATATCATGTCTATCAGCGACATCGAGTTTGGGCTATGGAAAAGGTGAGCAAGTGACTGAATGCAAACAAGGGACAAGACCTTACCACTTGCACTGCCCCTCCGGTGCAGTATCCTTTCTAATCCCCTGCTCTGACACCTGTGCGTGCTCGCCCAGATGAAGATACATCATCTCACTGCAAAAACATGTCCTAGATGCTGGTAACGATGCTCCTGAGGTGGTGGTGGCAGGGGTAGCAAAATTGTTGCGTCTTGTGCATCTTGTGTGCTCACTGAGGGTGCCGTTTGAGGGAGGGAGGATACATTGATCAGCGAGATCGAAATTGAACTGTGGAGACGGTCAATGCTGCTGAATCTGAGCAAGGAACAAGACTTACTGCCTCATTTCCACGCCTGTGCCTCCCACCCGTCTGCCTTCTCCTGTTCATGCTTGCTCACTGGATAAAGATACGTTGTCTCAGCAAAATGGTTCTTGATGAGCTAGAGAGTTTGCTCTTTAGTCGATGGTGGGGTGGAAGCACCAAATTGTATGCTTTGGGTGATTTTCGAGACCGTCGTTTGAGGGAAAGACGCAGTGGGAGCGAGATTAGGTGCATGGCTGTGGAGAAGGTCAGTACCGTCCCTAAATGTGAGTGAAGAAGGAGACCTGCCATCCGCGTCTGTAGTCCCTTCTGCTTCTGCACCAGCAAGGCGACGAATATGGACCTATATCCTTGTTTGCAGATTTTGGTGCACTGTCTCAGCCCGAAAATCTATTCCCTTCATTAGGGGATGGGAGGGATATCAGGGTGGATGTACACATGTCGAGAAGGAAGACCCACTTTGAATATCCATTGCCAGCCAGAGTGCCAACATTGAGGCCCTCCTCGTTCGTTAGCCGCAGGCAAATTATTTTTGAATATCTGGGTTTGATCTTGAATCAGAATGCGGACTAAAACCAATGGTGCCGGTGAATAGCAACGAACAAAAAGTCGCATGGCGGTGAGAGGGAAGAAGCTTGGTTAACTTGACGTCATGCCGATGGACCAAATTTGACCAAATGTTCCATTTTGGTTATCAACGCCCATGCAGGATGCATCGATTGTACTGTATGTGCCAGTGTAGTCCTGAGACAGCAGTATGAGGAACTTGTACATGGTTATATAGTTAGTAGGTGTTAGGATTTTGAAACCTGACGTGTTTCCCTGTTCCGAACAGTTACCGGTTACCGCCTCCCAGTTCACTTCGAAATTCAGGGTGACCTCCATACTTTGTTTTCTAACACTTGTCACTAGACTTGATGGTGAGTCATCTATCTTTTCCTTTTTTCCGTTTGCTCATGATGGTTTTCATTTGTTAAGTTTCGCGTCATCGCTACAATTCCATAGTCGTGGTTGGTGAACATCCAGTGATATTGATGACGCGAGTGAGTATGAGATGGTGAGCTGCTACTATACCAGCTTTTCAGCAGATTACTCAGGACGTGCCACCTAGTCTATAGTGATTCGCCCAAAATATCCAACACTTGAAGCTTGAGAGAGCTTGAGCTTGAGTAGGAATACGAGGCTGAAATGCTGACTAGTACTGAAGGTGCGTAAACCAACTTTTGGTCTATTTCTCCCTGTTCACCTTCTCTCTCATTACTCAGCACTTTTTCAAACACGTCTCCCCCAACCACCCCCAACTAATCATGTACGCAGCATACTGAGGATACAACACCTCCCTCATCCTATTGCGTCTTGCTGACATGTCATTTTTAGAGGGCGCTTGAGCTAGTCCACACATGATTGATAAAGGTGATCCATACTCGATGGCACACGATAAGGCTGAATTTGTGGCATATTAAGGCTGCCAAGGCTAACGATGCATATACCAAGTTTCAGTGGGCACTTTACGCCAGGGTTACGAACTCTGGTTAGGTTATCACGTCAATTAGGGGTCAATAAACTCGCCTGGGAGATCATGGTATGTATTCTTTCCTCCCTCCCTCCTTCTATTGTTGAACCAAACTCTGGTAGGCTTCTGTTGCGAGAACACAGCCGAGTCGACAACCAAATCGAATGTCACTATGCACAGTTGCTTTCGCTACCCAAAGTTCAAGGTGCGTGTTGCTAGTCTTTGAGGAATTTCCTTGTCCTGACCTTTCGTCTCTTTTCCTAGGACTCTGAACACATTCCTCCCCCCCACAACGGTCCCACCAAGTCATTGGTGCATGCAGCATACCCAATTGGTACGTCATCCCCCCCACCTCGTTGTTCCTTGTTGAAGTCGTCTTTGCAGCTCGTTGATCAACGAGGCCCGATAAGCAAGGATCCTAGCTCTAAGTGCTTAATGGAGCTCGCAACGTGTTTTCCAAAAGCAAACACGATGTGCTAACCATTCTCATTGGTTAGAACAAGAGAAACTGGCTGGCACATCTGCACTTGATTCATCAAGTCTTGCCATGATGGTATCAAATGCGGGTATGTACGATCATCTCAGTCATAGTTCTAGGATTGACCTTGACTCTAAGCATAAGCAAACATGGGGAGAGTCGGCGGGGTAGTTGACATAGCACCCTGTTGTATCTAAGCAGCGTTTGAGTCAGCACACATGGAGAGTGTTCAGGGAGTGTGATGATGTGCGGATGAGCATGTGCGTAGACGTACGGAGGGAGTTGCGCAAGTTGACGAGCCGTACCTACATTTAGCCTGGACAGAGGGACGAATTCAGATGAGAGTGTACCCAGCTATCTCGACAAGGTTCATCCCTCTACGTGTATGCTATTGTATTCACGACCCAGACGCAATGACTGTTTTTACAGCGTCTCCGTCTTGTAACAGTCATACAGAGGAGTAAGTCTCCCGGCTGGAAACATGGCATTATACATGTAAAAGATTCGACTTGTTTTATTATTTCAAGATAGTATCTATGAGTGGATACATACAGCAATGGTGAAAATGTAGAAAGGTTATACAGCAATTATACAGTGTCGAAGGGCAGAGAAATGAGTACAGTAGATCAATTCCTATGGTAACTCCAACAAACGAGAAACTCAGACTCAAGGATGAAATAAATGACGACGTTTACCGAGGTCATCAATGCCCAGTATGAAAGGCGACATGTTCAGACCATTATATACTTCCTCTAGCCTCTTCTTTGTCATCCGGAGTGACCCTTTCTGTGCCATCCTCCTGGGATCCATACTTGTTATTACCCTCCCCATCTAGCTGATCCTCCAGGTCACCACTGTAGAGGCTTATACTTATCAGAGTATCTTCTTGAGCACTTGCCCGGGTCTGACCATGCCCAAAACGGAGCGACGTCACTATGCTGCCCTGCCACGAGTCGTCGGAATGAGCATGTCCTGCCGCAACATGTCCGACAAGAAGAGTCAGAGCGACACCCTGGCACATGCTAAATAAGCAAGCAAGTAGGTCCGAGAAAGGATATCCATGTACTCTTGCGATTCCTGTTATGGGATCAAGGTAATTCGCCGCCCAGTCATTGTGAGCGAAGAAGGCGACGAATAGGATCAAAGATGCAGAATAAAGACCTGATGACTCGATTAAGACTTCAACGATGTGCTGGTAGGCTCCAAGTCCTCGTTCTCTTGCTCATCCCATGGTCCAGACATGGTATATGATGAGCAGTGTGCACCAGAGTGTCGTGGCTAGTGAAAAGGATGCATAAAGCACCAGATTGAGTAGGTCGTTGACGGCTCCATCTATGACCTGGCAGCGTAGGAAGATAATCTTAAACACTGCATTGAATAAACCTGGGATTAGAGCAAAAGACAGAAGGTATAGATGACATTACCAATAGCAGACACTAGACAGAGAGCAGGGAGGAGAGTAGTCAACCAGCGCCGTCCCCAGACCATCCAACAACGCCAAATCTGGAGTTTAGTTGGACTTGGATTTCCCAACAAAAGGTAGGCCAGAAACATACCATGGTAGAATCTGCAAGGATAGTACAGACAGTACTCGTGATACCCGTTGCCAAAAAGGATATGTCACCGGCTTTGTAGATCCGAAGATATTTGGTCCAAAGGTTTTGTGCATTGTCGACCAACGTGGAGTGCATATACAACCATTGGAAGGCCAAATTGATGGAGGTCAGGATATGGAGCAGTATGATAACAGTGACCATGGCCTTTCCATTGGGTCGGGGACTAGCGATGACTTTATGCCTTTTAGCTCGAGTAACAAGATATCGGGAAAACCTCCCTCACATATATTCTACAGGGTAACAGCGACAATACCCGTGTATACACCTTATGTGCTTTGTGATTAGACAATGGGAGTCAGGTTTGAATGAGTGTGGCTCACCATGTAATAGAGAGTCAAGGATGTTTGCGTTGAGTGAGGTATCAAGTTCTTGAACTATGAATGCTATTTCAGTGGCAGGAAGGTCTTCAGCCATTGTGGAAGATTGGTGTATCAGCTTCAAGCGAGGTGGGATGTATTTAAGAGGAGGATGGTACATGCCCTCATTATATAGCGTGCATACCCCCCCAAGATATTTGTTGGTTTCATAGTGATTTGTGAAGGCTGAAGCAAGATCAGCGGGTGAAATGAGAGAGTCGATATGATCCTCGATATCTGTCACCATCTAAGAGTTGCTGAAGGCGCATCTTTGTTTCAAGTTGTATACAAAATATCACCTTGGATAGATGTACAGATAAGTATTTTGCATAGCAAGGTGCAAAACATCTCAATTGACATACTATTTTAGATAAAAGATGATATGAAGCTGCTTGCAAGGTCCTATTCGTCTTCTCTGTAAGCTTTTCAGGAACAAGAGGCATGAGGCCTCGACTCGAAGACGCAGTGGAAGGATCATTCGTTGCTGCGATACCCATGACATCAGGGAGTATGGAAGGATAATCATGATAGTTGTATGGCTAGATCCACCTGACGTTGTCTCATGAGATGAGAGTTCTAGCACTCTGGATACTGTGTAACACTGGATGGTGGAGGTAAAGTTGGATGCAAAGGAGACTCGTGACCGTTGGAAATTTCCTTCGACACCGGACCGTCATTCCTGCCTCCGTCTAGTGCCCACAATGTCCACGACTTATGGATCCTGCATTGCAGGTGCATTTTCACGATTTATATCACTGGTGATATGTGTGCTGCGGCACCTCAACATGTCCAGGAAATTTGAGGAGAAGGGTCCTTATCATCGTCACTGCGATGTGCTTCTTGACATTATGCAGCAGTGAATAACAAAAGGACACAGAGCTGAAAGACTTCTATCGTTGTCTCATACCTGATTAGCCTGGATCACCTCCGAAGCTAGAGGATATGCACTCAATATCCTGGAAGAAGATATATGGGTACACTAGCACGCACCGTATATTAAGCAGGCACCCACACAATAAGTCCATACACCCATTTGTATGCAACATCTTTCCTAGATGAGTGAAGCATGCAGAAACTCCTTATGCCTCATATTCTTCCTGTATACTCAAGCTGACTAGCGAGCAATGTCCCATTTGTAGATGTGGTCTAGTGACGAGGTGCACAGATAATAAAAGGGCTGGATGCTAGTCCAACATCGAGAACCTCAGCTGATAGTGATAGTTGATATGCACAACGAAATAACTGTAACGCACCATCATTTGCCTTTTGCAGCGTTCAATAGCATGCTATTCAGACCCACCGCATGCCTTGGGAGACCATATCGCAGGTGTGGTAACCTGTTCCTTTGCCAGTGGCCCAACTATCTCAATACTCCATCCAGCTTTTGAAGGTCAATGTTTCCGAGTTCCATGGTTTACCTATTAATGGACAGATGAAGCAGACAGTTGGTATATTCGTCTCCAAAACTGATAATGACTATGCTGGGATAGCATCAACAAAAGTATGGATCCCTTGATGGCGTACACACCTGAATGTGGGCGAGGAAAAGGATCCCTCCCCTGCTCGGCGCTCACTATCAAATCTCTCCCCCTTCTATCCTCACTTTCGATGCATGGTCTCGGTGCAAAAACCAATCTTTTTGATTAGACGTGTGATCATTGGGGTGGTGTGTTGGTGTGGTTGATATCAACACAAGGAATGGTTGGTGTTCATTGAAGGGGATAATTATCACTGCAGGAATGATATCAGCATAGACGACCATGCGTCAGGAGAGGTGATTCACCTTGAATATCCAGTTAGGTATACGATTTCAAGCATCAATATTAATTTTGACTCGGAGGTCCTGCTACGATTGTTTTGGCTTAAATCAGAATGACGACTATGAATACTGGTCAGAATTTACTCACATAGTGCTTGAATACTATCGAGGGAGAACATGGTAGAATTGAAGCATGGTAGTGAGAACGTTGGGGCTTTGTTTGACTTTACACTGATGGCCCAAATAGTCTATTTTGATTACGAACACCCATCATGCTCGCAAGACGCATCGACTTTACTGCACATGCCAGCATAGTTCCCCCACCAGTTACTGCCTGCCACGAAATTCAGGATGACCCTCTATCTTCTTTTCTCACTGGTCAATAGTGGACCATCTCTTTGTTTTGGCAGTTTTTTCCTGTTCAGCATCGCATGGGGCGGGTCAACGCATGCCCAGCGATGACACTCATGGCTATGGAAAGGTGAGCCCACTACATTGTACCAAGTTTTCTGGTGGTTTACTCATGACATCTCTCTTAGTATACCATATCATGACTCGCCCAAAATTTCAATGCCTGGATAGGAACACAGCTGGCTGAAGGTGCATAAACTAACTTTTGATCAATTTCTCCTTGTTTAACTTCTCTCTCGTCGCTCAGCACTTCCCCTCCCCTCCCTTCCATCACTGGCACCCCCGACAATCATGCACCCATCATGCCTGACGATGGTACGGGACCTGCGTTCTGCTGGCGCATCATTTTTGGAGGCAGAGTCAGCAAGCAAGTGTCTGCATACGATTGATAAGGGAGATCCAAGCTCAATGGCATGCAATAAGGGCGAAAAAGAGACTAAGTGAGGTTACCGAGGCCAGCGATGGTCATTTTTGTAAAGGTACACGCAAGAAGTTCAAGGTGCATGCCACCAGTCCTTGAGGAACTCCCTCGACCCAACCTTTCGTCTCTTTCCCCAAGACTCTGTTGCCCACGATAGTCCCGTTGACATGCGTGCAACGCGTTCACACATGTAATTTTGCAAATTCTAGGAATGCAAATGTGTGTGTGCCCCGTGAATAATATTAGAGTACATGTAAGGCATAGAGCACTACACACTGAGGCAGAAAGCACTATAATAAAAATAATATGAGTAGAGCGCATGGCTTAGACTTAGAACGGCACACTTGTGTCATTTAAGTGTGCAGTCTCAGTGCTTATACACACACACTGTGCCCTCCTCTGCAGTGTATCACTCAATTAAATTCACTGAAGATAATATATTGAAGGTGCTTCGCGCTACATTGATCTATGATGCGCGAACCCTGCCGATCCGGCAATCACCGAGAAACGTCATCCTGAACGAAGAATCAACAAGTCCGGATACTCTAGGGAGTTCTCGGCTGGAGAGAAATAAAACCCGCTGCCCATATGAAATATTAAACTAGAAATGGTTGCGCGGCAACCAATTGTTGGAGGATATCCGTACAGTATACCAAGTTTCCTTATCTTTCTCCCGTCGTTTGTTTTACTTACTATATATATCTTACCTCCTGTCCTTGACTCGATCACTATATAGCTTAGCCGTCGATACCCGAGTACCTCAGTCGTTCCACCTTCGCTGTGCCCGACTGAGGTATGTATACCTTACTGTCTCTAGCTTATAACTTACTCACACTCATTCATACTAGATCATTACTTATATCCTTTGTCTTTAGGTACAGTACCTTTCAATACAGTCGTTCCACCTTCACTGTGCCCGACTGAGATCATTACTTATATCCTTTGTCTTTAGGTTATGGTGCCCCGTAGCCTATAGCTCAGTCAAAAAGGATATGCAGCAAAATTTTTATTATCAACGACTCAACTACTGCCCACTGCTCACACTTGCCCAACCATTACTATTGAACACATACTCCTAACATGTCGTTGACTACGTCGGGAGTTACAATCCTCCCCGATACCCATAGCCACTTCAACGGGAAAAACTACGCCTCATGGAAACTTCAGCTTACTGAACTATTGAAGGGGAAAGGATTGTGGGGGTACATAGAAGGTACTATACCCTGCCCTGCCGCCTCTGCGACTTCCGCGAGTGGACCAACAACTACTCCACTACCACCAGACCCCACACCAATCTACTCTTCGAGCCCTTCCCATGACGAATGGACGTTCCGTGATCAGCTAGCTCATTCCCACATCGTTCTCAATGTTCTTGACCCTATCGGACTAGGGGTAAGGACCGACGGGACAGCGAAGGAATGTTGGGATTCTATCATCGCTGAACATGCCAAGAAGACTGACATGGCTCTCTCCGAGGCTGAGACGTCCTTGAATGCAGTCAAATTCAATGGCAATGGTGATATTGATGCCCATGTTGCAGAGCTCCGTACAAAGAGACGTGCCGTTAATGATCTTCGTGCCACCCCCCTCACAGACCAGGAATTCCGCGGTATCATTATTCGCTCGATTCTCCCAACAGCCAACTGGATGCCTATCCTCCCAAGCTTGTATCAGCTGTCTAGCTCCACAGATATAATCTCCCACCTTCAGACCCATGCTGCTACCTTACACGTGGCGGGTAAAGGCCCCACACAGTCCCAAGCATTAGCGGCCAGATCTTCTACCGTCGGATGCTCTAATCCTGGCTGTAAGGCACGAGATAAGAGCAAACATACTGCGCAAAACTGCTATTGGCCAGGTGGGGGAAAGGAGGGACAATTTCCCCCTAATTTCGGCCGACAGAGATGGGCTAACCATGTAACCGTGAACACTTCAGCCGATACACCAAGGCATTTTGTTCTCGCTGCACGTGTCATTACTCTTGAGCGGGAACAGGACGAGAATGGGATCATCGTTGAGGACGGGGAGACG